GCTCGATGCGAAGCGCGCGCGGGTCGCCTCGATCGCCAGCTGGGCTGCGCCCTGTGAGTTGTCGCTATGCGCTCGCGCCCCTGAGTCATCGCTGTGCGACGCGCGCGTTGCCGAGGACGGCAGGCTACCATCGAACTCGTCGAACGCTGAAGCTGCGCGGGCTTTGGTGCTTGCATCGTCAAACCAGTCTGTCTTCGATGAAGAGCCCGGAAACAGCGCGCGCAGCCCCGTCGGCGCGGTTCCGTCGAAACCTCAGCGCGCGAGGGGCTCTCCATGGATTGAAATCGCGTGCCTAACATTCAGAGGGCGCTTCCAGGTCCAGGAGCTCGTTCCCGAGCTGAACCGAAGAGATCATCTCGTCATATCACGGGTGGCCAGCGGCGAGAAGGACGCCGACCAACTTGAGGCGACGTCTGATTCAGCTCGCGCAGCCTGCGCCCAGACGCAGAGGGTCGATCTCCTCCCCCGACTATGCCCTCAATGCCCGCGCACCCCCTCCCCCCGCTAGGAAGGGTGTGGCGTCGGTCGCTTCGACCTCTGCCATGTTCCACGCGCGCCGCTGCATGTCGCGAGATGAGCCTGAGTCGCGAGATTTGCTCTGGCAGCGCTGGCGCGAGCGCCCGCGGGCGGGCGTTGTTCGGGCAAGAGCCCAGTCGCCTCGCGGCGCCGCCGCAAACCAACAATACAGCCCAAAACATCATCGTCTAGAAAGGGGGAAATCTCGGGTCAAACTGATCCAGTGACCTCGTCGTGGACTCCGGAAGACTTTAGATGGCTCTCCGCGCCTCCTCTGGCCCAGCTCGTGGAGAGCAGGGCCGATCGGGGGCCCGGGCGGCCAGGGGGGGTCAGGTGCTCGTCGGAGCTCGCGCTGCGTCTGCAGCCCATGCTGCGCAGCGCCTTGTGGGTCGGCACTGGGGCTGGCAGGGCCCTGGACAGCCGCGGGTAGAGCGGCGCAGCGAAACATGTGGGGGGCCCGAGCTCGCCCCGTGCTGGCAGTCTTGCACCATTCGCTCAAATTGGTCTGGATGTCCTCAGAATCACCCCTTATCCCTTTCGCGACGTCGCCAGCGATTTCGCCCAGGATCTGACTAGCCTGGTCTCTTGCAATCGCATCGCAATGCGATTTTCGCGTCGGGCCCCCTGAATTATCGAGGCGGGCACTCGAACCAAACTCTGGGCTTCGTTGCCGCGAAAAACTACGAATTCCGCCATCGTCGGTTCTTGGTTCAAATCTGTCATCGTATCGACATCGTCTACATGTGTCAAGTGCTCCACTGCGTTGCGGTGCCCTTGCAGGCCTTCCGCGAAGAGAAATGTGCTTATTCAAATCGGGCGCAGGGCATTCAGCGTTGCCCCAGCGCGGCGCAACTTGGCTCTCAAAACTACCAAAATTATATTTCGCGACCCCCGCGCGCGCGTCGATGTGGCGGGCGGCGGCGTGGGCGAACAGGCCCCAGCTATTGCCCCGCGCAAGATGCGCCGCCCCTGGGCGCATATCATCCATGGCCATCCCAGAATATTTGCCCATCGGGCCCCTTTGCAATCCCCCAGTATGGGGGCGAAGGCTGAGGACCGAAGGGGGGCTGAGCTAGTAGCGCAGGGGCAACGACATGGGCTGGCGATGTGTAGCTGTGCTGGCCGATGCGGCCTCATCGGCCTTTGGAGATCGACCTGCGTTTTCTTGTGCGCGCGTATGCTTTTACCAGTTCGTCCGGAAAAATCCATGACTGAGCTGCCTGCGCCACCGCTGCAAGTCTGAAGTGTAGTGGCCGCAAGCGCAAGCCCAGCAAAACTGCGCAACCCAGAGCATTCAACATCAGCAATCGACATGCTCCAGTCTCTCCTGCAATGCACGGGCCCTCTACGCTCTCGACTACGGCACCTGCTATACATCAACTTATCATTCTTACCTTGTGGGCGCATGCACGGCGGGGAGGTAAAGGTTGGCAAGGTTGAGGGTCATCCAGGCAAATCGATCTGCGGGGGCACGATGCTCGCATTCCTCATGCTGTTCCAACAGCGGAGGCCTGAGACCGCGCTCGCGGCGCACGCAGACCACAACTCCAACGCTCGGTGCAGATCCTGCAGACGAGCAGGACGGGTACGCCGTTGCGCTCATACCACGCACGCGAGACCAACTCTGTATTGCTTCGATCTGGTCAGCAACATGTCCGTCCTTGGGCTATTGCGACTAAGGCGTGGGTAACCCATCAGCCGCTTCTTCGGCGTATTCTTACCTGCGCTGCAACTGAAAATCTCAATCGCGTGCTTACTGATGTCCCGTCCCCATCTTGCTATGAAGGTGGAGTGGCCGCTTTACGAAAACCTGTTACTCATGGTAGCAGCTGTCCGTTGTCATCATACTCTCGTGGCGGACAACCGAGGATACAAACTCCCTGACGCGGGCGCGGCGCCCGCGGCGCGGCGCCCTCAGTAGTCGGTCTTAAATGGGAGGGTGCAACCTGCTGCGCTGAAACTCACCTCGCGGCGGGGTCGATGATCAACACCTCCAACCTTGCACAGGCCGCGCCCTCTACCATCAGGAATGCCGTGCCCCTCTCTTGACGTGGAGTTCTTTCATACTGGCTGTAAATTCATCGGGATTCTCGCATGTGGTCCACATGTTCTCACGCTGTGCTTTGGATCACTCACTGATCTCGTAGTAGAATTTGCCCCTGGCGGGATCACCGCCTGCATCTCCTGCAGAATCTCCCTTGGCAGCTCCATCCCCAGTGTCAGTAGCAGTATCCTCACCAGCTGCAGCATCCCCCATCTGAACGCCATCGGCCTACAACTTGGATGCGACACGGATGTGCTACGGCAGCGTCTGCCAAAATTCACTGGACAAAACTTGCTCGGCCCCTGGGTTCTCTTCGTGATCCCGTTGCAATCGAAGAAGGAAAACGATGATGAGGAGGAGGAATATCAGCAAGATGGGCAGGAGAGGGATGAGCAGGATGACCAAGGGAAATCGGCGGAGGGGAAAGGAGGGGGAACGGGCGACAACGAAGAGAGGTGGCCCCGATCCAGACACGTGGCCCACGCTGGGGCGGAAATGCCACCCTGGACGATAGGAGTAAAGCGCGGATCCTGAAATCAAGTCAGCGCTGCAACGGGAACACCATTGAAACACACAACCAAACTTTGAGATCCGGTGCGCATTAACAAAATGTGGGCGGAGCTCCGCTCGCACCAGAGTCCGTGGAGAGAGGATGTTCGTAGTTGTATTGGGCAGTTGTGGAAGGGGTAGAGATGTGGTGGGAGGGGGGTGGTAAGGACGGGCGCACAAGGGAGGGGCAGGGGGCGGCGGAAAAGCGGAATGGGGGAAGGACTGCGAGCAAGACGTGTGCGCCGAGGACGAGGAGACGGGAGCACGGTTGCAGTGGATTGCGGTGCCGACGCAGGGCGCCGCGGGGCCACTCTGGTACAAAGGTGGCCCCTGATGCCACCGAGGACAACCACTGCTTGACTCCAAGCTTCGGCCGGCACTGCTCCTTTTTCAACGCGCGCCCCCCTGAATTTGGCATGCGAGCAGCGGGTCCTGGAATGAACGGCCCCTGGACCCTGGGGACTTCCCCCAGAACCAGCTCTTCGTCCCGAGTCGTGTTTTGGAGGTCCTGGGGCCTGGGGAGGGCCCCGGAAGCCGAGAACGGCGACCAACCTCAGAACCCGGTTCCCTCGATACCCACTGGCTTCCTGGCGCAGGGCTCCTGACCCCACTCCTGGGAGCCCTGGGGCCGGTTGCCCCCCAGCAGCGTCGTCCCGAAGCCCCGAGAGGGGGCCACGAGCGAACGCACCCCCGGCCCTCTTGAGGAGCTCGGATCTCCCGAGAGAGCCGGCCACCGCAGCCCCCGCGCCCCCCTTCCACGGAGGCGAGAGCAGGCGGGGCACGAGGAGGACGGGCCAGAATAGTCCCAAGGTGTATGGACGGTTCTGCAGTCCACCCTCCCGTCCCAGGTCCCCTCCTCCCGAGTCCCTGCAGCCATTTGTACTCCACATCTGAAGCACACCCCAGGAACGACGAGGGCCCCATGGGCCCACGATTCAGGCGGGAGCTCCGTTTTGACGGAGGCCGCAAGCATGCTTCGAAATACATGGGCCGAGGCAAGGCGATGTTCAACATCCAAGGCAATGCCCAACGATGAACCCACTCCAACAAGGAACCGCCTTGCAACCGTACAATTGTTACAGAATTGCTCTTTGCTGGCCGTAAGAAGTACGACGTCTCAAACGAACATCTCAGTTTGACGAGATAACCACTGCCCACAATCCGCATAAACGTTGCGAGCAGTGCGCAGTTGGAGAGATGTTGGATAACCTCTCAAGCAACGGCACCAATTTTGCAACCGTGCCAGCATCCATCAATGTAACTGTTGGGAACGCTCAGGACGAATATGCGCGATGCTGACACGAACAACAATCATAAATTCGTGTAACTGTTGGATTGTTTCCGACGAATGTGTCCCGCGGGACGGCGAGATACACATTTGAATGCAATCGGCCCTCCATCGGTATCTGTTGGAGACAACGCAGGACCTACGGAAACGCCTAGTGACGCGAAAGGGAGGAGTTATTCACAAGTAAGAGGACTGGAGGAGGAGGAGGCGGAGGAGGAGGAGGAGGAGGAGGAGGAGGACGAGGAGGAGAGGAGGAGACGAGGACGAGAGAGGAGAAGGGGACGCGGGCACAGGAGAGGGAGGAGGAGGAGGAGGAGGAGGAGGGAGAGGAGGAGGAGGAGGAGGAGGAGGAGAGACGAGGAGACGAGGAGACGAGGAGGAAGGGAGGAGGGACAAGGGAGAAACAAGGAGGAGAGAGAGGAGGAGGAGGAGGAGGCGGAGGAGGAGGAGGAGGGCAGATGATTGGGATAAGCAGTAGGGCCTGAGGACAGAGACGGCCAGAGGAAAGGGAAGGCCGAGGAGAAGAGCTCCAGCACCTAGACCCGCACATGCGCTGGCGCGGAGGGAGAACTGGGAGAACCAGGAATGCGCGACCGCCGCCGCCTTGAAGCGGTACCACGGCGATATCATGAACGCCAATATCCGAGGACCCCGTGAGTGTGCGGGGTGGGGGCGTCTTCGGTCACGAGGGAGGAGGAGGGAGGAGGAAAGAGGAGGAGGGAGGAAGAGGGAGGAGGAGGGAGGAGGAGGGAGGAAGAGGGAGAAGGAGGGGAGGAGGGAGGGAGGAGGAAGGAGGAGTTTTCGATCGACACCAACTATCGATCTGCATCGACCGCGGCCCGGCCAACTGTGGGCCCCAAATCGGCGGATACGCCCCGCTGGCATGATGACCCCTTCGGGGGCCAATGCCCGGCATCGTTAGGATGGGTGTAAATTGATAGTTCGCAATCCCCCGCCCTCCTTCCTTTCCGCTGCTGCTGTTCTTCCTGCTCCCCGTCGATCCCCCCCCTTCCCCTTTTCCTCCGCCTCTGCTGCCGATCACCCCCCCACTTCCTCCTCCCCCTCCTCCATTTCCTCCTCCTCCTCCTCCTCCTCCTCCTCCTCCTCCTCCTCCTCCTCCTCTCTGCTATCTGCTCTCTCCAGAGGTTTTTCGAGGCACCCTGCGCCTCTCCGTGTGGACCATAGCAGCGCTTCACTACAGTGGAGGGGGCCTTGGGACAGACGCCGAGACTGCCGACATCTGCCGCAGCATGAGCAGCCTTGCTAAACGCGGGGCGAACAAGCAGAGAGCCGCACTCAGTCCAGCTTTGCGCGCGGGGTCCTGGTCTAGAGGTCGGCTCGGGGAGGCGGGGGTGAAGGTCGAGCCGAGCCCAGTGCCTGTCCTGTAGGTGTGCGTCGTGAGCCCGAGGCGGACCTTCACCGCTGCTGGGGCTGTGCAGCTTCGTGGCCAGATCCTGGGCTGCGAGGCGACCCGGGCGCTGGCCGGCCAGGCCCGTGGAGGAGGCCACTCGGCCTCCGTCTCAGTGGCCTCGGGGCATCACTCCCGTGGCCTGCGCCCCGCGCCCCGAGCCGCTGGGGGCACTCCAGGAACCCTCGGCGGCGCCCCACGCTCCGCGGGGGCCCTGCCAGCCTTGCTTATGTGAGCATTTTCTTGGGGTGGAGGGCTCCGGGTGAAATCCAGATGGGCCTCTGCACCTCGAAGATCGATCCGTCTTGTGGTTCACCGTTTGCAAGCTCAAGCCTCGAAGATCCATCGAAACGGCATTTCAGAGTTCACCCTTGGCCCTCCACCCAAAACAAATGCTCTGCTTGTGCTGCGCACGACGTGCTAGGTTAGCTACGAGCCGGAGGTCGGACATGGTCTGCAGGCGGCGCTTCGGGAGGCCCATTTCTGGCCACTTCCTCCTCCACTTCCTCCTCCTCCTCCTCCTCCTCCTCCTCCTCCTCCTCCTCCTCCCTCTCCTCCTCCTCCTCCTCCTCCTCCTCCTCCTCCTCCTCCTCCTCCTCCTCCTCCTCCTCCTCCTCCTCTTCCGCAGGATCTCCTGGGCGGTTGTCTGCGCGGAAGGAGGGCCAGGACCCCGTGGCGCCGAACTCGGTCCAGGCGTCGGGGCCCCACCGTCCACGGGGTCCCTGCCGACCTTGCTTGTGCTTCTGGAGTCCCGGAGCGGTGCGGTGACAGACCGTGCGGTGACCTCGAAATCCCCCAAGACCTCACCGCACGGGCCGTTAACGCATGGCTTTGAGACCGCAGATGCCCCAATCGCCCGAGACGTCCTCGGAGAACGACCCGAGTGCCAAAACCGAGCGGTGACCCCGAATCCCCACCGACTCACCACACGGTGTGGTCACCACCCCGTTTGGGGGCCCCCGAATGCTGCGCAAGACGTGCTAGGTCAGCTAAGAACCGGAGGTCGGAGATGGCCTGCAGGGGGCGCTTGGGGAGGCCCATGTTCTGACCTTACATCGGGCGTGTCCTCTTGCAGGGGAGATTGGACGAAACGTCCAACATACACAAGAAATACTCAAAACAAATCCCAAATCGTCCCTATCTTTGCCTATTTAAAATATTCCTCCTGTGGAGGGACACGCCCGACTTAATTCTGGCCGCGCTCGTCTCCGCAGAATCTCCTGGGCGGTTGTCTGCGCGGGCGAAGGCCAGGGCCCCAGGGCGCCGAACTCGGTCCAGGCGTCGGGGGCCCTCGGGGGCCCGCGCCCAGGGAGTCGGCAGGGAAATCAATCGAGGCGAGCTTTTTGCTTTTCAAGGAGGCCTTCTGGCCACTCTGGGCCGCGACCTCTCTCTTGATGGGCCAATTTTCCACCACCACTACCATAGGTGGGACGGGGACGGGGAGCTCCTCCTCCTCTTCCTCCTCCTCCTCCTCCTCCCCCTCCTCCTCCTCCTCCTCCCCTCCTCCTCCTCCTCCTCCTCCTCCTCCTCCTCCTCCTCCTCCTCCTCCTCCTCCTCCTCCTCCTCCTCCTCCTCCTCCTCCTCCTCCTCCTCCTCCTCCTCCTCCTCCTCCTCTCCTCTCTCTCCTCCTCCTCCTCCTCCTCCTCCTTCTCCTCCTCCTCCTCCTCCTCCCTCCTCCTCCTCCTCCTCCTCTCCTCCTCTCCTCCTCCTCCTCCTCCTCCTCCTCCTCCTCCTCCTCCTCCTCCTCCTCCTCCTCCTCCGCCCTCCTCCTCCTCCTCCTCCTCTCCTCCTCCTCCTCCTCCTCCTCCTCCTCCTCCTCCTCCTCCTCCTCCTCCTCCTCCTCCTCCTCCTCCTCCTCCTCCTCCTCCTCCTCCTCCTCCTCCTCCTCCTACCTATGGTAGTGGCGGTGGGCAATCGGCCCATCAACTCTCGTACGTCACAGACAATCTCTACGTAGTGCGTGGGCCTGTCAATCTCAGAGCCAAGGCCCGTTGGACGCCAAAGGAGGATGTCAGAGTGAGGGGGCCAAACGGTCATTCACTGTCCCTGGGTGCGTGGCTGAAATGGGATTCCGCGGTGCGGATTCGTGTTGTTGTTTGTTGTTGTTTGTTGTTGTTTGTTGTTGTTGTTGTTGTTGTTGTTGTTGTTGTTGTTGTTGTTGTTGTTTGTTGTTGTTTGTTGTCGTCGTCCCGCCCGCGTCCCACCCGCGACCCACCCGCGACCCACCCCGCGACCCACCCCGCGACCCACCCGCGACCCACCCGCGACCCACCCGCGACCCACCCCGCGACCCACCCCACGACCCACCCCGCGACCCACCCCGCGACCCACCCCGCGACGCACCCCGCGACCCACCCCACGACCCACCCGCGACCCACGCGCGACCCACCCGCGACCCACCCGCGACCCACCCCGCGACCCACCCGCGACCCACCTTCGACCCAAACCACGTTCAAGGTACAAACCACCATTCCTTCCAAGTGGAGAGCCCGCGACCCACCCCGCGACCAACTCGCGACCCAAACCGCGTTCAGGGTACAAACCACATTTGTCGGCGCCTGCGGCGGGCATCTTTTGCATTCGTTTCAAGTGGAGAGCCCGCGGCCCGCCCGCGACCACGTTCAGGGCGCATCAATTTTTTCGGCGCCTGCGGCAGGCATCTTTTGCATTCGTTCCCGGTGGAGAACCCGCGGCCCACCCGCGACCCAAACCACGTTCAGTGTACAAACCAAATTGTTCGGCGCCTGCGGCGGGCTGCTTTTGCATTCCTTCCAGGTGGAGGTGGAAAACCCGCGACCCACCCTCGACCCAAACCACGTTCACTGAACTAACCAATGCCGCAGAAGCGCGGCGGCGGACTGCTGCATGCCGTCTGAGCCCACAACGACCTCGTCAAGCCCCGCGCATCCACACAAGCCCGTCCAGCAACTTTGCCCTGGCGAGTTGCCTTGATCAGAGAAGTCGGGGAACATAAAATGGAAACAAGGATTGCGTTGCCGTTAGGTTTGGAAAAGGCGGGGGAGGCAGGAGGAGTAAAAAAGGGACGAGGAGGACGCGGAAGAAGAGAGGATGTAAGGAGAATGTGGAGAAACAGGAGGAGGAGGAGGAGGAGGAGGAGGAGGAGGAGGAGGAGAAGGAGGAGGACGAGAGGGGGAGGAGGGACGAGGAGGGGGAGAATGGGGAGGGAGTGAGGAGGGGGAAGGAGAGGATGATGGAACGACTATGGGAAGGACGATGATGGAGGCCGATGAGGGGGAGGACGACAATGGGAGGAACGATGATGGAAGACGAGGGGGAGATGACGAGGAAGAGAAGGAAGAGAGGAGGAGGAGGAGGAGGAGGAGGAGGAGGAGGAGGAGGAGGAGGAGGACGATGACGATGAGGACGAGGACGAGGACGAGGACGAGGAAGAGGACGAGGACGAGGACGAGGATGAGGATGAGGAGGAGGAGGAGGAGGAGGAGGAGGAGGAGGAGGACGCGGAGAAGGAGGAGGAGGAGGAGGAGGAGGAGGAGGAGGAGGAGGAGGAGAGCGCCATCGACAAGGAAGGTGGGGGCCACGAGGTCCGCCGGCTCGACGACGCCCGCGTCGCCCGCGCCCGCCCCCTCACTCTTATCCGCAATTGCGGGGTGCTACGTAGATGTATGAGATCTTGTGCGTGAGCTGACGGGAAGCAACTTTTCAAGGATGAGAGCCACGTCTCGGAAGCGGGGCTGCGGAGATCCAGCCCCGAGATGCGTCCGCTCTTTGCTTTCAACGACCTGGCTGACAAGTCGGCTGAGATTTCCCCCGACGCTCGAATTCCCCCTGGGACTGCCGAGTCTCGTAAGCTCGAGGCAGAAGCGAGAGCCGTTCGAAAGCGACTGACCTCCATCCTTTCTTGCGGGCCAACCTTGGTCGGAGCCGAGGGAAAGGCGGCGGCGCAGGGGACGGCCAAGCAAATCCTCGACCTGACCGCCGCTCTCAGGGACACCTTGCCCAGGCTAGGAAGAAGGAATTCGGGTCGCCGTCGTCGTCGCCACTGGCACTGTCGTACCTGTGGCTCGGGACCACCAACAGGTGCAAATTAGCAGTAATCTAATGGCTCCGTGTGCCCTGCCAGGGCCCCAAGCTCTTCGCTCCTGCTGCCAGCGCCCCGCGGGAGGTGGGGCAGTGCCTCGGCGCGCACTGATCATTTCCGCTCGACTGGCAAACTTGCCAAAGAGTACGAGCCCGCATGTACGGGGCTCGAATACTTGAAGACTTTGGAGAAAAGGACGTGCCCCAGG